ATTTAAATTCAGAACCTGATACTTTACCCTTTACATTGTCAAATACCGCTTTTAATAATCCTTTTTGGAAAGCAATTGCACTTATGCTACAATAACTAATGTGGAATCCACATGATTTATGTCTGTTTAACAAAAATCTCATGAAAAGCTTTTGCATAAGTGGTTCCATGAACGGTGTGACATACTACTTGCATGAGCAGCTATTTGTGTCAGCACACGTTGGCGGTCTATACTATGCTACTGAACATTTCAAAGATGGAAGTCTGGCATGTCCTGTGCTTTATAATTTTTATTGTCACATGAAAAATACTAGAAAAGACTTCTTTCTTTTTTCAAAATTACATGACAATCTTCCCTTCTGTTCCTGGACAGCTTTTTTTGGAGCTCAGATGAATGCGTTTATTCATGTCATTATGTACATGTATTATGGATTAGCTGCCTGTGGCCCTAAATTTCAGAAATACTTGTGGTGGAAACGATACTTGACCATATTGCAATTGGTAAGTAAAAATTCTCCTTTTATGTCAAAGTGTTGCCTCTGAGTGGATTTGCATTTGCAGAGCTTTGAAACAGATGCTGTTCCTTCCAAAAGTTCTTAGCTGTCTGATACTCACAGCTCAAGTTAGAATATTTCCTGGAGATAGAATTATTTATTTCATTTCTCAAAAAATAGGCATAGATAAGAGTTGTGTGAGTAAAGTTTGTGAGTGCTGCTTTATTGGTTGTTTCAACTGAATTGCAAAACCCTGTTCAAAAGGTAGAGCAAATCCATATCTCTTAATGTCTTCTCATTTACCTACTTCTAAAAACTGGTGTAGGGTATTGTGATAAATTTGATGTCCCTTGGTCAAGCATATGTATGCATGCATGATGTGACAGCCAAATACAGCTTCCTTACCATCTCCCAATTTAGCAGTTTTTGTAACAATGCAGTAAGACCTACAGAATATATCCAGACCTTTTTGATTCTATATTTTCTGTCTTTCAGGTGCAGTTCCATGTGACTATTGGCCACACAGCCTTGTCTATTTATATTGATTGTCCTTTCCCTAAATGGATGCACTGGGGTGTAATTTTCTATGCTGTCACCTTCATTTTCCTGTTCGGTAACTTCTACTATCGGACATATAAGCTGCCCAAGGAACCTGTAAAGAATGGCAAAATATTAAATGGTGCTGTTGCAAATGGAGTAAGCAAACCAGAAAATAATACAGTGGTGGAAAATGGAAAAAAGCAGAAAAAGGGAAAAGCAAAAGGAGAGTAACTCGATCCAGGCCTTAACCATTGTTGGCAGTGAGGAACCTCCAGTTTGGTTTATAAAAGGAAGAAAAAAAACCACTATCTGTACCAATTTAACCTTAGGTTACTGAAGAGCTAGAACACAGATATTTTCATTATTTATGAAGATTGTTTTAAGAACAACACTAAAGTTGAATTTCTATTGTAATTATGTAATTATCATGCATATGGTCTCTGTGTAAACTTGTAGACTGCTGGTGTTGGTGAATGTGAGGAAGAATTGCAGTTGATTCCACGTTTAGCAGTCCAAAAGTTAATACTACCATTGATACAGGCAGTTTTGTTGGCACCCACATTTCTTTGGGGGAGGGAGGGGAAGGAAGTAGCGTTTGGATACTTGTGTTTTCTTTCCAGAAAATTATTAAATTTCAAATTATGACATATTATCTAATCAGAATGCGCAACTTTTCTTGTCCTCCTTGGAGAGTATCTTTCAGACACATTATGTTTATGTGCTGTCAGAACAGTGTTTGACTTCTCAGACATTACTTGATTTAACTGAGTGTCTGTTACAGTTTTTGTTTTTCTTGTGTGGAAATATACCTACCTCTTCATCTGCTGAAAAGAATAATATTGAGCATTAAATAACTGGTTTCTGAAATATGGAGTCCTCTAATATAAATATCTGTTAACACTAATTCAGGAGAAGATATGATTTCCTGTGGGAGTAAAAGGGATTTTGGGGGGGTATTTTTTGGTCAAGTCATCAATAACCTTTTCAATGTAAACTTAAATTTTGGAGTGGTACTTTTACTATGGCTAAGTGAAGCAAACATTTTAAGAATGTATAAATATGAGACAATACATTGTTTGAAGCAAGCAGCAAAAGTAGGCCTGCTGCTTGTTGTCCGTGACCTGCATTAAACCTGTGGTGCTGAGTGATACTGAAAATGGTAAGACAGTATTATGGTGGAGAGGACACAACAATGTGTAATTCCATTTAGAAATGCTGTGTGTATGGGTAGTCATGCTAACTACAAGACAGTCGCTTTATTGGGAGAGAGAATTTGGTTAAAAACTACTACATATAGCAAACAAAAATGTTGGAAGTGCTGCTGCTGCTTGATTACCCATCAATACTCTTATTCGTTTACACACGTACAGACAAAGTGATGCTAGTAGTCAGGTCACCATTCTAATGTGAATGTCAGAGGTGGGCTTCTGAAACACTGTTCCCAAAATATTCTCATCTCTTTTTAACCTAATTGACAAAGTGACTCTGCTAATCATTTTTTAGTCAAAACTGCGAAAATAAGTAGAAGCCTTTTAGACGGCTTTTCATCTTGTGTGGTACATTAATGGACTTCTTACCGCTCCTTTTGTGAAGAAAATACAGAAGGAGTTATTCTCCTTCCAACTAATGTGATTACTGAGAGAGGTGTGTTGAGCTGCTCAGCATGCAATGAGTGTAAGACAGGGGTGGAATTAAAAACCATATCCTGAACTCCCGTGTTCCTTGCTCATTGCTGCAACAGCTGTGTTGTTGCTGTCTAAACGTGTTCCTCCCAGCTCTGGTCAAAACCATGCTTGCAGTTAGTGACAAACTTGCATCTGGCAGGTGACACAGTTGTTGCAGGAAAGAAGTACGTGGAGTGGGAGGTGTTAAGTATGTGACACGTTTAATAGCTTTATCATCTCGATTATCCATTGCTCTGTTTATAATATGCAAGCGGGTCACATAATCTCTGTCTCAGGTTTGTCTCTTGCTCTATACTAAAAACCGTCTAAACCCAAAACCAGTTCCTAGGAAAAAAATGGTTGGATATAGTCTGTTTAGAAATAATTCCCAGTGCCGAATTGATTCAGCTGGAAGGTAGTTCATCCATAATCTCCACCACTGTGAATTTTAGGGCAGAATATAGGATTGTGAAAGAAAGTCTCTGCTGAACTGCAGTGCGTGTGACCATTAAGTTTCCTGTCTGCTGTGTCTTGTGATTCTTCCAGCCTTTGCACTGATGCTTTTTGCATTTGCGTAACTCTATGTATTTATGCAGCGTGGCGTGGGGAAGAGGGATAGTGGTCTACCCTTCCTCCTTGGACAAATGCCACTACCTTTAACCAAGCCAAAATGCTGGCTGACAGGGTAACTTTGGAATGCCTAAAGGAGCAAATAACTACACAGCAAGCCAGCAGATTTACAGCACACGTGCTACTCCAAGGTAGTGGCCAGTGTGAATACACTTACCCTACTGTAAATTCAAGGTAGCTCACCCCACTTTGATTAAAGGGTAGCTTCTTTCTATTTGCCATGGGATGTGGGCAGCTAACTTGTAAATCTGTATCATTCCTTGTATTTTGTTAAATTGGTTGTTTGCTCTTCCGTTTGATAAGCCAGATCAGATAAACTGATACTCCTAATGTGATCTAGCTCTGAAAGAGCACACTGAGAGGTATTCCAGTAAGGTTCAATTATGTCTTTGCTACACTTTGTAAAGTAAGAATTAAATCTTGCATGTTGGCAAATATTTAAATAACTGAAGGTCAAATCTTCTCTTCCCTCATCATGCATGGAAGCTGCTTAAAGTTGACTTGAACCGTACTGGCAGAACTTGAGTAGAATCCTACTCTCAAACGCTAGAGCACTTGGTAACTTTTAAGAAAAAATGAAACAATGCATTGTGAGAGTGCATGCGTACATACACATCGTGTTGTCTGGCCCTGTGGGTAAAACCAGTTTGAGAGATTGGCATTTAATGGAGGAAAAAAGATCAGTTATTTAAATTGCTGAAACACTGCTGGTTTGAGTCTATCTTCTGCAATGTGGCTTTCCTAGGTCTATTTATGGTATATTTGATTGTTCATGTGACTTGAGTCCCATTATGATCTTGAATATAATGGCCTTATTAAATGTGCATTTTTGTAGGTGTGATCTTGAGTGCAATACTTCTGTTTCTGACTATGCAGCCAGACTCGCAGAATACAGGGCTGAACTTGTACATCTTTTTTCTTTTCCAAAATTTGAGGCAGTGATGCACTTGTGAGATACTGCCGGATTCATTAAAGTCATCATTGAGTCCAAGGCACCTCAGAATTTTGCCATGAAACTAATAGAAAATATATATATAAAAAAATGTGTGTTTGCTATACACAGAACTGAAACTTAAATTATAAAATCTACTTTGCAAGGTGGTGTTTTTTTTTTTATTTTTCTAAATGCTTCCAATTTATTTAAAAGTGAAATTCAAACCATTTGGAACTTTTCTTTTTTTGCCAATGAAAGATACTTTTTTGCTAACAGTTCTGAAGCTCTTGGACCAGAGTCCCACAATTATTTGATGCCATATAAGTGATACCATTCCATTTAGCCTCATCTCTAGCAGTGACAGTTGTTGGATTCTTTTAGCACTTTGTCAGTGTAAAATAAATACAAATTATCTATACGTGTGTGTCTATATATGTGTACACATACATAGCGCGCGCGTGTGTGTGTGTATATATATATATAGATTCTTAGCAGGTTCTTCCAATATGTGAAGTAAATTATATTTCTTTAATGTGAAGTTGGCAGGAGCTAATAGAACAGTTCCTACAGCTCAAGTAGTAAAATGAAGCAGTTTTCATTGATACATAGATCTAACATCAGTCTTGCAGGCATAAATAGTATATATCGGTCATTTTAGACATAGGGTAGCAGACACGCCAGAGCCATTTCTCCCAGCGTATTTTGTGGCATCGGTTGTAGATTCGGAGGGGAGGGACCTCAACTCGGAGGAGCTGAGGGGTTATGCAGTTTCATAGTGGGAATCATTTTAGGAAACAGTATGAGTAATTTGCTCCAGGTAAGTCTTTGAAGTCATTGCAATCAAATTCTCTGTTTAATGGAACACTATTTAAATTAAAAAAGAAATGTTTCTCTGTAGGTTCAAAAGCATGACCTATTTGATTAGATGACCATTAACTACTTCCAGCTCTAGATCAGGAGAAAAAGATGAAGGCAGAATAAAAATGCATGTTTTTTTTTCAGGTTAGCTTTAGGGCACGTTTCTTCAGAGTAAGCGCTTGACCTCCATGTGCTGGGGAGGCAGGTAAGAAAGGAGTAAATAGGTCTCACTCCTAAAATAGCTTATGAGCACACTTGCTGTCTCTTTAAAAACTTGAGTAAAATTGTTCATGGTGCATAAAGTTAAAGCTTGCATGAAGCTAGTGTGGGATGAGAGTCGTAATCTTTAAACAGACATTTAAAATTAGATCTGTTTCAGCTAAAATGGAAGAGATGGAGAGCTTATTAAGTATCTGGATAGCATATTCATCTTAGTTAGAAGCACAGACTAAGCCAATCTGGCACCTAGAGCGAGTCACCCATATGACATCTCGTTGCGTCGTGGTCTGATGAGTTGGCCCCTTTGCTGATGCAAGCAGCTGGAGCTCCGTGGGAATCAGTGGAGTGGTTCCCGTTTACCTCAGCAGAGTACATTTAACCCTAAAGAACAAAGAAAATACTTGCTTTCTGCCAATATCCCAGGAGGATGAGGGAAATGTATGGTTCAGGATGCTGCTTTTGCATAAGGTGTTCATGCTTTTGTAAACAATAAAAATAAAAATTACTTTTTTCATGCTGCTTGAGTTTGGTTTTGTGCATTCCATAGAACGTTCTTCTGTGCCCCATCTTGCTTCAAGATGCTTGCTAATTTTACAACATTGCACAGGTGGTGGTGGTGTAATCTGTTACGTAGCCCAGAAGTTTGAGAGAAACATTTCGGTGGCACATCCTCATGTTTTAAGGTTTAGGGGACTTTACTGTTGTGGGGCAATATTCAAAATTGGAGTCTAGCGGCTTTGAAGTCACCGTTCGGGAACTGACCGAAAACAGGATGTCCGCTTAATCAAAAAAACAAGTCTCCTGGAGTATATTCTGGCTGTGCAGCACATGTATCGGCATCGCGTTTGGTCCAAATGTCATCTTAAGACCAGCATAAACTGAAAGGGTTGGATGGAGTTGGCCTTTGCTGCTTACCCCAGTACAAC